TAGGGTTGCCGCAGCTCCTCCGACTGCCCTGAAGACATGTGCTGTGATGCAGCTTATTTTCCCAAGTGCAAACGGCCTCCTATACCCGGTGAGTATCCATACCTTATTTGTGTATTTGTTACTCGTAATACAAGAACACATAGAAATAAAAATACCCCATCAACCTTAACATTAACAGAGAAAAACAGCAACAATTTCAAGAAACAGAACAGGACATTTTATAGGAATGAATATAGACTCAGACATAAATAGATCCTACAGGAATTGCAATAACTGTTACAACACCCAACTCACTCCGGACCATATATACCATATGTACAGTTGCCCGGCCATCCTTGCAGACATCAATCCAGAAGAGGACATCCATACGGACACCTCATTTGGCCGGTATTGTGATCAGGGTGCATGGATGATCTGATTTGCCCAATGGACAAGACACCACCACCACCAAGAACACATTGTTCAGATAACTTGGTACAGCGAGTCGCTGTTCGCCTAAAAAGGGAGCAATGTCAGTAAATTATTTATTTAAATAATATATAATCACTGACGGGGGGTCGGTGGAAGGCTGGTTAAACCGTTTGGTTTTCGACCACTATGACCCGGGTTCGATTCCCGCATTGGACACTTTTTTCTGTTAAAAAAAAATGCTCCAATGGCCCTCGATTCCTGCAAAAGTCCAACCCCACCATCGATTGCAAGTACCTAAAAGGGGCTCTGGCACATTTGTAAGTGCAAAGTCGAACTGCTTTTCACATGTGTAGACATGTGGTGCGCTTACAGTAAAAGCAGTCGCTAACTACCCACCATGAGTATCATGGCCTGTACCACGTGTACTAGGGATAGGCAAAAAATAAATATATATATATTATCACTGAGAAAATAAATTAATCTTCCTGAGAATTGAATTGGCCTTACTGCTGTTTCATATGGGACATCCGGCTAATAATTTCTGGTTTCAAGATAGGAAGAAACAAGTATTTCAGAAGAAATGGATTCCTGATTTAATAAATCACAAATTACAGTAGAGAACATTCTAATAAACTAATAGATACTAGTACTGAATAGAGAGTTCATGAAAAGTAGTTTCTGTTTGGAATATAACTACACATTTCCTTATAATTAAGAAATATTACAGACGATTAAGTGTTAAGGTGAAATCATTAGGATATCAGGGAGAAGTTTCTATTTTCAAAATTTTAATTTTTCATATCTAGCTTTTAGTAAATTAAATTTAATTGCCATCTATCGTTAATATTTTACACATATAAATTTACTGGCAATGCGCTTCTTTTAATGCGCCTTCTCATTCAATAACTCATATCATTGCAGTAAGGTCTGTAGAGATAATATTTGATGATATTTAAAAGTAGCGCATTGCCAGTAAATTTATTGGTGTAAAATATTAATCTAGCTTTTAGTCATGAGAGTCTTCAGTCATGAAAGCCCTTTGTATCGTATTTTCTCCTGTAGGTCTTCCATGCCCAAAAGCTAAAGATATAAATTCTATAAATAGAAACATATCCCTGTTGAGATTTCAATTTAATATTGGTACAAAGGATTATTTTATTGGAGATTAAGTGTGTGTTATATATACGGTTAAACCTGTCTATAGCGCCCCCTCTTGGGACTCACCAAAATAGGGTGCTATAGAGAAGGGGTGCTATAGACAGATCACTTTTAATGTAAATCGCATCGTACTACGTATTTAAAATCGGGCGCAATAGAGAGGGAGGCACTATTTAGACAAGTTTAACTGTATATTTTGTTGGTTTTGTGGGTGTTTAAATGAGAAGATAGGGATCAGGTCAATTATATAATCATTAAAATATTTATTAACATATAAAATTAAAAGAAAGGATATATAAGAGCCACATAGAGTATCTGTTCTTGCCTGTTCTTCTTTTTTCCTTTTTTTTTTCTTTTAGTTGTTTATCTTCTTTCATAGAATATTATTTATAATTGTAAATTTTAATCATACTTAAAATATAAAAACAATAAGGAATATTTTTAAATATTAAATAAAAATGTTACACAAAATTATAGGCAACATATTTTTCAAATTTGCTTCAACAAATAATGAATGTTTTTGATTAAATATTTCTTTTTTTTTTCTAGGTGACCTATGCAATATTAAAGAACAAAACGGAAAGTGTAAATGTCCCTTCCCTTCATCGTGCCAAAGGGTAAGTAAAACTTAGTTGTTGATTCTTGGATAGCTTATACAGCTCAATAAGTCTTTATTATAAACTAACGGACGTACCCGGCTTCGTCCGGGTTTTACCCGAGTAAAGGTTTGTCTAACGAATCTCTCGATAAAGTGAACATTTTTTCCCGGTCCTTTGAAAAATACTCGATAAGTTGAATAAAATCAATATTAATTGGTTCCCTCGGTAATTGGAAGTTAAAGGAATAGTATCTTTCCTTGGAATTGTATCATTATTCTTGTCTCAAATAAATTGCCGTGTCATTCTGAATTTTGTCTTTCCTAATTTTCTAGATTACAAAATCATCGTATAATCATGATAATATTTATAGCAGATTGTTGAATTATAACAGATAAATTAGAATATTTATCTTGATTATTTTTAGGCGAAAAGTTATTTCAAAAATTTTATTTGCTAGAAACCTTCCCAGTACTATACTAAATAACTTCCCAAAGTTTCATGGCGTTCCAATGAGTGGTTTGGTCAGGAATAAAGGACAGACAGACACACATACATTCATTTTTATATATACAAGGTGGTATCAATAAATAAGGTGAATTATAATTTATTTAAAAAAAAATAAGAACGATATTAAAAATTAGGACTTGATTTATTCAAAATAATCACCTTGGCTTTCTATACATCGTCTCCATCGTTCTGGCAACTTTTAAATACCCTCTTTATAGGCACTCTTAGGAAGCGTGTGAAAAAATCTTGCACCACTTTCTGGACATCTTCATCCGAGTCAAATCGCGTTCCCTTTAACTCATTCTTTAGTAGTCCAAAAAGGAAATAGTCAGAGGGGGCTAGGTCTGGACTATATGCAGGATGTTCTAAAACTTCAAAACCTAATTTAATGATTGTAGATACAGTTTTACATGATGTATGCGGCCTTGCATTATCATGAAGGAAGAGAACACCTTTACTAAGCTTCCCTCTTCTTTTGTTTTTTATACCAGGCTTTAGCTTATTTACAAGAATGTCACAATAAAGGTCGCTGTTCATACGTTGCCTTGAGGATAAAAAATCAAGACAGATTGGTCCATCAACATCCTAAAAAGTTTTAACAAAACATTACCGGCCGAATGTTGAGACCTGATTTTTTTGGTCTTGGAGAGTCGCCTCGTTTCCATTCCATAGATGCACGTTTTGTCGAAGGATCATAATGATAACACCAACTCTCATCTCCAGTTACAATTTGGTCAAGGAAATGATCACCTTCCTCTTCATACCGCTTTAACAGAGCCTATGAAACCCGAATACGGTTAAGTTTTTGGTCCAAATTAAGGAAATGTGGAATCCATCTGCAGCATATTTTTCTAAATTGCAATTGTTCTTTAATAATGGTCTGAACAGTTCCATAGCTTATATTCAAATTGTCGGCTATGGTAAAAATAGATATTTTTATATCCTCCAAAATTAAGTTTTCAACCGCATTTATCGTGCTTGGCGTCGCTGTAACACTTGGTCGTCCAGGTCGCTCAATATCGGTACATGTAATTCGTCCATTTTTGAACTCGTTAACCCATTTATAAATGCTTTTTTGAGACAAACAAGACTCACCATAGATTTTTTTCATTCTATGGCATATTTGAGATGTTTGAATACCTTCTGCATTCAAGAAACGAATAACTGCACCTTGTTCAAGCGTGGTGCAATCCTTCAAGTGAGCTTCCATTTTAGTTTATTTATAAGTCTCGCGCCGCGCGTGGGAAAAAAGAACAGAACACCTTAAATAGTCTCTCGATGTTATATTTTAATATTCTGTGGTTTAAATTATTTTTGCTTTTTTAATTTTTAAGAAATAAGATAATTCACCTTATTTATTGATCCCCCCTTGTATATAGATACTATACAATGTTCACATAAATAAGTGATTCACTTTTTTATTTGTTTTGATTTCTTATACATTTTGTTATCAAACTAACTTGACAGGTTTAAAGGTAATTTTGTTCATAATAAAAAAATATAGAGAACCAGTAATTCGTATTTTTACAATTATATAAATCTCTATTAATTAAAAAGGCCAATATTGGATCAAAATATCATTTATTTTACCAATATTTCAGTTGGCTGAACGCCAACCTTTATCAAGGTGTTATAACATTTTAAAGTGTGTCATATAACACCTGTTGTTATAACACCTTCAGCGTTCAGCCAACTGAAATATTGGTAAAATAAATGATATTTTGATCCAATATATGCCTTTTTAATTAAAGATTTATCTATGGATTGCTCTATTTTCAAAATAAACTCTATGATTATATATATACTAGCCAAATGACCCGGGTAACGCCCGGGTTTTACCCGATTAAATGCTTTTATTCAAATAATATTCGTTACAATTATAAATTGGCGCCGTGGATGTCATTCTTGTGAAACGTCCCGCTCCAAACTTTGTGTCTGAGAAGCGATATTTTTATAAAGAGATGATCTGGCTTTGTGTCTTCTGCTCGAATGAATGTTTTTCTGTTAGAATTTTGTTCCTGCATACTAAAAATGAACTGGCTTCACCCGTGGTCTCTGCTTTTTGGAATTTTTCCGGATATAATTTTGTATCTGATAATCAAATATGGTACAGCAATATTGTCATAATCATTTTCTGACTAAAAAAAAAAAACAACCATTTTTGCCCAGAACCTGTCAAATGCTTATAAAAAATGGCCATATTTGGGTATTTATTCCATTCACAAAAGCAAACGGTGACAGAATTGTTGATTGATTGTTGATTATGACTCTGATACTTGTATATAATAATAATATAAATGAGTTTTAAAAATTATTTTTAAAAAATGCATCGGCCAGGAATCAAACCCGGGCCGCCCGCATGGCTGGCGAGCATTCTACCACTGAACCACCGATGCTTATAAAAAAAAGGCCATATTTGGGTATTTATTCCATTCACAAAAGCAAACGGTGACAGAATTGTTGATTGATTGTTGATTATGACTCTGATACTGTATATAATAATAAGCGCCCTTCTTGGGACTCACCAAAATAGGGTGCTATAGAGAGGGGTTATAAATATCTCTCTCTGTTTCTGATAATATATGCAAAGAGGGGGTTAAGAATGAATAAAATTCAGAGAATAAAAAAGACAAATGAGGTCAATAAAAGAAAAGTATTAGACTTCAACAAGTCTTCAACAAGAGTTAAACATGGATATTGAAGTAGTGGCCGGGAAAATATATTTTCTATCTATGCTGTTGAATTCTTAAAGGTAAAGTCTTCCATTATAGTTCATAGGCACAATGTTTTACTGTAGTATATTATTGCTAGGTTTAAATTCAAAGTTTATTGTCATTTGGTTGTGTGGAATATTAGAGATTTTCTATCGTTTTTTTTTACACAACTGTAATATTCCCAATGTAACGACACACATATGGACAACTTAATATTGTCTATATGGTCTGAGTGTTGATTGGGGAGTCGATGTTTGAACCCAAAGCTTGTTTCCAGGAGAGATTTCTCAATCATTTTAATATTTGCATAGCAATGATTGGCTAGAGGTTTTGTCGACATCAACGAAGCAAACTACAATTACTAACGCTTTGTTTGCAGTTGGGATGGTTTGGTTTCTACCGATGTGCGTTCGACGCTAGTTTCAATACAACTACTCAAACGACCACTGCAAGCATCAATACAACCACTCCAGCGACCACTGCAAGCATCAATACAACTAGTACATCGACCACTGAAAGCATCAATACAACCACACCAGCGACCACTGCAAGCATCAATACAACTACTACAGCGACCACTGCAAGCATCAATACAACTACTACAGCGACCACTGCAAGCATCAATACAACCACTCCAGCGACCACTGAAAGCATCAATACAACCACACCAGCGACCACTGCAAGCATCAATACAACCACTCCAGCGACCACTGAAAGCATCAATACAACTACTCCAGCGTCCACTGCAAGCATCAATACAACTACTCCAGCGACTACTGCAAGCATCAATGCAACCACACCAGCGACAACCACCAATCCAATCACTCCAGCAACAACCACTAGAGTTACCAATACCACACTTACAACGACCACAACAACCACTGCTATAGCCACCATAACCATTACTGCTACAAGCAAAACAAACTCCAATATCACTACTCCAATGAAAACTATAACAACCAAACCAACTACTCCAGCGAAAACTACACTCACCAATACTACATCTCCAGGAATCACTACCACAACAACTACAGCGTCCACCACAACCACCAACATCACTCCAGAAACCACTACAATCATCACTACAAGTAGTACATCTTCCATTAGTAACACACTAACGACAACTACTACGACATCCAATAACACTACTCCAGCGACTACTAGAACAACCAATATCATTTTCCCAGTGAAAACATCAACCACCAAAACAATCTATCCAGGCATAAGTTCGTCCACTACAACCACAATTACAAAGAGCACTACAACCACCACAATAATCACTCCAATGACCATACAACTACCTACCTCTTTCAACAAGTCAGTAGAAGCCTTCTGAAGCCCCACAGAGCATTATTTTACATATTGAAATAAACTTACTCTATGTGTATTTGAGAGAGAAGAATGCTATTTATTTCAGTCTAAAATACCATCCACATGGCCTCTTAAACCTTGAAATGTAAGACAATTTTAACACTACTTTTTAGAATAATTTTAAACTACACACTCCATAGATTAACGTAAAGATAGAGGCTTGCCTGGCTGACATTCATAGTTCTTCAAATTAAAGATACTTCGGCCAGTAAATCTTTTTATTACTTCGACATTTCGTTATGTCCTTGTCAGGAGCAAACAAAAATTAAAACATTTGGCAAGGCGTTAAAATTATTCTTTATAGATATTATACTTTAAGAAAAAGGAATCTCCTGATTGTTCAACTAAAAGTTGGTTATTGATGCGCCATCTATCGGGAAAAATATCAACTAATCGTTGGTTTTATTTAATCCACAATTGGACAAATACCTTTTCTTGATTAATCAAAAAAAGCTAACTACATAGTATTTTTGTCTGTTAAGCCTCATGAGAGTGGTGCAATCTATACCTAAACGACCAAAAGAATCTATTCTTTGGGGCATCCTGAAAAATCATGAAACAGGTATTTAGGCCCCAAGGACGTGCGAACACCAAACTTTGTGAAAAACAGTAAAATAGTGAAATTTCACTTGGATCAGGTGGATAAATTAAGAAAAAGGCCATCCTGATTGTGCAACAAAATTTAACTAATTCAAAAATAATTAAAATCAACAATTAATCGATATTTGTGAATACATTATATATCAATTATCAAATATTTTATTCCTAAAGCGCTATATCCCGCAAGGGATACTTGCGCCAAACAAGGAGAAAAGTTTATTTACATAAGTTATTTACATTATTCAACACATGAAAACATTAGATATCCAGATTTTGTAGAAAGTTTAGAATGTATTTACAAAATGAATTAAACTTTAAATATAATTTTATATCGGAAATCAAATCGTTAAGTTCACAAACAACTAGTTCATTCTTCATTCTATAAACTTGAAATGCTGGGCATTTGATCAGTAGATGTCTTGAGGTTTGTTCCTCAATACCACAGAAACAACTTGAATCCTCCACTGCCTTTATTGTATTTAAAAATAACTTTTGAAATATACGTGGTTTGTAACAAATTGTGTGTTATAAAAATTTGAACGAAAGTATTTAGGAATTTCTTGGGGAAAAAGGCTTAAGAAAGTATTATTTGCTTCGTTTTTCGGAACATTCATTCTTGATTTGAGAAAGGTATCTATAATTAATACAATATATATAGACGACGCAAACCATCAGCAACATTTAGTTTCACTTCAGGAGAAGCCTTTTTTCACATCCCTGGACACGTCATTTTTCCCTTCATCATTACTTTTCACAATTCATCCTTTCATACTTCATTCCTAAGGTTAGAAATAATCGTTATTTCTCCTTAAAATAAATTTCGATTTTTCGTTCAAAAGAAACACATGCTGGATAATTTTCAAATGTTGTTCAACAAATAACCCTATGATTTCAGTACAATTTCACCTTTTGTACTATTTTTGACACAGATTTTATACAGATTTGGTTATGTTATATGAGGAAAGATCATGGCTCAGTAGAAGGAAAAACCACATCGTTACTGACGACTTCCAATTTACAGAAAAAATATTGGAAAGTTTATTCAACCATTCTGTATTTTTACTCAGATAACTATATTACAAGATGTGGAATCACCAATTATCAATTCGGAGAAGATATCTTCTTTTTTTTTTTCTTTTGCTTATCCCTAGTACACGTGGTACAGGCCATGATAATCATGGTGGGTAAAAGTAGGCGACTGTTTTTACTGTAAGTGCACCACATGTCTACACATGTGAAAAGCAGTTCGACTTTGCACTTACAAATATGCCAGAGCCCCGTTTGGTTACTTGCACTCGCTGGTGGGGTTAGACTTTTGCAAGAATCGGGGGCCATTGGAGCATTCTATGAATAAGAATAAGAAGAAATAAAATCTAATAGCGATGAGATCCTTTAGTTTTTATTCCTTCTTCCAAAAAAATGCAGACTTTACTACCAACAAAATAAATTTACTAACTGAGACCTAAATGACCCCGTTATATCCACACTCCCCGGTAAATCGGGAGAAGACTCTCTGTACATGTTGTTTTTGCTTATTTCTCCAAGTGGTTTAAACGATCTCCATTAGGTTCCAATGTCTCAGCATTGTACTCTCTGTACATGTTGTTGTTGCTCATTCCTCAATTCGTTTAAACGATCTCCATTAGGTTCCATTGTCTCATCATTGTACTCTCTGTACATATTGTTGTTGCTTATTCCTCCAAGTGGTTTAAACGATCTCCATTAGGTTCCATTGTCTCATCATTGTACTCTCTGTACATGTTGTTGTTGCTTATTCCTCAAGTGGTTTAAACGATGTCCATTAGGTTCCATTGTCTCATCATTGTACTCTCTGTACATGTTGTTGTTGCTTATTCCTCCAAGTGGTTTAAACGATGTCCATTAGGTTCCATTGTCTCATCATTGTACTCTCTGTACATGTTGTTGTTGCTTATTCCTCCAAGTGGTTTAAAACGATCTCCATTAGGTTCCATTGTCTCATCATTGTACTCTCTGTATATGTTGTTGTTGCTTATTCCTCCAAGTGGTTTATACGATCTCCATTAGGTTCCATTGTCTCATCATTGTACTCTCTATACATGTTGTTGTTGCTTATTCCTCAAGTGGTTTAAACGATGTCCATTAGGTTCCATTGTCTCATCATTGTACTCTCTGTACTTGTTGTTGTTGCTTATTCCTCCAAGTGGTTTAAACGATGTCCATTAGGTTCCATTGTCTCATCATTGTACTCTCTGTACATGTTGTTGTTGCTTATTCCTCCAAGTGGTTTAAACGATCTCCATTAGGATCCATTGTCTCAGCATTGTACTCTCTGTACATGTTGTTGTTGCTTATTCCTCCAATTGGTTTAAACGATCTCTATTAGGTTCCATTGTCTCAGCATTGTACTCTCTGTACATGTTGTTGTTGCTCATTCCTCCAAGTGGTTTAAACGATCTCCATTAGGTTCCATTGTCTCAGCATTGTACTCTCTGTACATGTTGTTGTTGCTTATTCCTCCAAGTGGTTTAAACGATCTCCATTAGGTTCCATTGTCTCATCATTGTACTCTCTGTACATGTTGTTGTTGCTTATTCCTCAAGTGGTTTAAACGATGTCCATTAGGTTCCATTGTCTCAGCATTGTACTCTCTGTACATGTTGTTGTTGCTTATTCCTCCAAGTGGTTTAAACGATCTCCATTAGGATCCATTGTCTCAGCATTGTACTCTC